TTCTCGTTTTCTCACCTTGATTTGGGATCGTAACCCCCGTCGGCAGGTTGATCGCCGATTTCTCGCTCCGGTGAGGAATCGTGTGAACCCGTAGGTCCAAGTCAAGGCTGATCTGGTCGGCGAGAATCGAAGGTTGTTGCCTGCCCAACCCTACCCTGGAACCCCACCAAATAGACCACGAACACTTCACCCACTTTCACAGAGATCGGGGAGCAATGGAACCCAACTTCAAGTTGATGCTCGACGAGATGAAATCCATGAACATCGCTCGAGGGCAGTATCGCGGTGGTGAACACGTCTCTGGGCAACTGCATCGGTGCCATGGAGCGCACCATCTCCGACCGATTCGGACGCCTCGAGGATGCAACAAAGGTGTTCGACGCATGGAAGCCCACCATTGACGAGCCTGTGAAGGCGCTTCGCTCTGAGATCGGAGCGATTCGCAAGTCGGAAGAGGTTGTGGAGAAGATGTGGGAGGAGATGACGGCTCTCCGCAAGACTGTGAGCCACGCGGCGCTCGAGGCTACTCCAGGTGCTGTGTCTGGCGTCGTGCCTCCTCCCCTAGTGACCGCGGCCGGGGCGTCGTCCTCCGCCGGTCCCAAGGTTATTGGCCTATTCGTTGGGCACGGCGTTCCACAGCATCACCGAGGGCTCGAGTACATGACTTTGTCCCTGGTCAAGAGTACGAATCCACATCTTCATCCTCTTCCCCATCCCCATGCCCAGCCCCATTCCCTGCCTCATCCTGCCTTCGCGTTGCGTAAATCCTATTCTAGTTCGATGCTGGATGCAGGTCCATCAGCCGTGGCGTTGGGTTTGGGTTCGCCGCGGGGAGCTCCTGAGCCACCATGGGAACCTAACCCCCCTAATGATAAGCTTCCCAAAATGAATTTCCCTAGATTTGATGGTGAAAACCCACGTCTCTGGATCCACAATTGTAATGATTATTTCGAGATGTATGATGTCGCTCCGCGTCGTTGGATCAAGGTGTCCACGATGCATCTCTCCGGGGCAGCCACGCGCTGGTTTCCGGCAGTTGGGCAGCAAGTGCTTACCATGTCCTGGCCCCAATTCACTGCTCTCTTTCTGGAACGCTTTGGCAAAGATCTGCATGAACTGCTTATTCGTCAGCTTTTTCACATTAGACAGGTACCGTTCAAGAATACGTAGACAAATTCACCTCTATAGTTGATGATTTGATAGCTTATGGCAAAAACACTGATCCCATATATTACGCCATCAAATTTGTTGATGGCTTACGCGACGACATCCGTACTGTTGTTCATATGCAGCGTCTCCGTACTTTGGATACTGCCGTGGTTCTTGCGTTGTTGCAGGAGGAAATGCTGGATTCATCTAGGAAGAAGGAGTTGCGCCGTCCGGAGGCGTTCCAGTGGGCCAAGCTGCTGCCGCGCGCACCACAACCTCTGCCGGTGCCACCCGTGCGCGGGGAGCGGCCGGAACGTGCCATGGCAGCTGCGGTTGGCGCTGAGGACCGGCGTGGCCGTGGCGTCGACGCCAAGCTGAACACACTACGCGACTATCGCCGAACACGTGGCCTCTGCATTCGGTGTGGTGAAAAATGGTCTCGCGACCATTGCTGCCCCGAGCAAGTTCAGCTTCATGTCTTGCAAGAGGTATGGGATCTCTGTCACAGTGAGGACACTGAAGATTGTGACTCTGCACCGGAGGATGCTGTAGAAGCCCAGGTGTTCTTAGCTCTGTCATCAGCAACACTTTCTGCTAGGCCATCTGACAGTATTATGCAGTTTGTTGGAGAAATTCAGGGCCAGTCAGTTAAGATTCCTCTCGATTCTGGCAGTTCTAACACATTTATGCGCACCTCTTTGGCTTCTAAACTCTCAGGCAGTTCTTATTGTCAGCACCCGATCAACGTTACAGTGGCCAACGGCAATCAGATGGTCTGTCAGCAGGAATTTCGGCAACTATCGTGGACTATTCAGCAGTGTTCTTTTGTCTCAGATGTTAAGGTACTTCCTCTTTCACAGTATGATCTCATCGTCAGAATGGATTGGCTTGTCAAGCACAGCCCTATGGAAATTGATTGGAAGTACAAGAGAATTCTTATCTCTTATGGGTTGGAGCGAGTTCTTCTTCAAGGCGTGCTAGATACTTTGCCTACGGGCTCTATGCTACAAGTAACAGCTGTTCAGGATGACTCATATGTTAGAAGTGAACCATCTTTACCACTGGCAGTCACAGCTCTTTTGGAAGAATACCAAGATGTGTTTGCTCCACCTGCAGGCTATCCTCCTGCTAGACACTGCGATCATGAGATTCCACTCTTGCCCGGCGCTGCTCCGGTCCAAGTCAGACCCTACCGTTATCCACCTGCGGTTAAAGATGAAATTGAGCGGCAAGTTTCAAAGATGTTAAGCTCCGGTCACATTCAACCCAGTTCCAGTCCATTTTCTTCTGCTGTTCTATTAGTCAAGAAGAAGGACGGATCCTTTCGGTTTTGTGTGGATTTCCGTCAACTCAACGCTATCACAGCCAAGAACAAATATCCAGTGCCTGTGATTGAGGAATTGTTGGACGAGTTACAAGGAGCCTCCTGGTTTTCATCTTTTGATCTCACTGCTGGATACCATCAGGTGCGCCTGACCGTTCTGTATTGAGACGGATGCCAGTGGCATCGGCGTCGGTGCTGTACTTATGCAAGGCAGTCACCCATTGGCTTTCGTGAGCAAGGCTCTAGGTCCTCGCTCCCAAGGTCTGTCGACGTGCGAAAAAGAATATTTGGCTATCCTACTAGCTCTGGATCAGTGACGTGCCTATCTGCAATATGGTGAATTCCACATTCTGATGGACCAAAAGAGTTTGAGTCAGCTCACGGAACAGAGGCTGCACACCCCATGGCAACAAAAGGTTTTCTCCAAGCTTCTTGGGTTGTCTTACAAGATCATATACAGGAAAGGCACTGAAAATAGGGCAGCGGATGCTCTTTCACGCTACCCAGTTGGTTCCTGTGCTGCTATCTCGGTAGCACAACCACAGTGGCTGCCGCCGTGGAGGCTTCTATGCAAAGGATGAGCACGCTCAGTCGATCATCAGCAAATTGCTCCTGGATACTCAAGCTGTTCCTCATTTTACATTCAGCAATGGAATTTTGCGGTACAAGTCTCGCATCTGGATCGGTCAAGATACTGCTCTCTAGGCACAACTCATCACTGCCTTACATGCCAATGCGGTCAGCGGGCACTCCGGTATTCCAGTCACCATCCGCCGTATTAAGCAATTCCTTGCTTGGCAAGGTATGAATGCTGCAGTCCATCAGTTTATCTCAGCATGCTCCATCTGTCAGCAGGCGAAACCAGACCGTTCTAAGTTGCCAGGTCTGCTACAGCCTCTTCCGGTACCCGATCGTGCTTGGAAGGTAATCTCATTAGATTTCATTGAAGGTCTTCTGGTATCCGGTTCATTCAATTGCATTCTCATGGTTGTGGATATCTTTTCCAAATATGCTCGCTTTCTGGGTCTGAAACATCCATTTACTGCTTCATCGGTGGCCAAGCTCTTCTTGTCTCATGTGTATAAGCACCACGGCATGCCTCAGGTTATCATCTCAGATCGTGACCGCATCTTCACAAGCAACCTGTGGCAGGAACTCTTCAAACTTGCCAAAGTTGATCTTCGCACAGTCAGATGGTCAAACAGAGCATGTAAATCAGTGCCTGGAGACCTTTCTGCGGTGTTATGCTCATGCAGCCCCTAAGCAGTGGAGTAACTGGCTGGATCTCGCTGAATTTTGGTACAACACGAGCTTCCACTCAGCAATTGGAAGATCCCCATTTGAGGTCATGTATGGTTATGCCCCTAGCGCTTTCGGAATTGCAGCTGCTCCAGATGCTCCAGTCACTGATCTGTCTTCCTGGCTGGCTGACTGGAACCTCAATACAGAGCTCATTCGCCAACATCTGTTACGTGCCAAGCAGAGGATGAAAAAGTCATCTGATCTACATCGTTCTGAGCGCCAGTTCCAGCTGAACGATTGGGTCTATCTGAAGCTCCAACTCTACGTTCAGTCTTCTGTTGCTGATCGCTCTCATCACAAGCTGGCCTTCCATTTCTTCGGCCCATACCGGGTCATTGGTAAAGTTGGCACTGTGGCCTATCGATTGGAGCTCCCGCCTTCATCAACTGTCCACCCTGTCTTTCATGTTTCCCAACTTAAAAAGGCGGTGGGTGCTCATCAATCAGTCACGGCTGAACCTCCATCTGATACCGCCATTTTGGAGTGTTCCGGAACGCATCATTCAGCGTCGCCTGCTTCGCCAAGGTACATCTTCATTCTCTGAGGTTTAATCAAGTGGTCTAACTCTTTGGAGTCGCTTGCTACCTAGGAAGAACTGGAAGCCCCACGACAACAGTTTCTCGTGCTCTAGTCTGCGGGAACATCCAGCGTGCAAGGAGGGGGTGTTAGCATCGCCCCTGTTGCTGGTACGACAACGCTCATGGAAGAAGGTGAGGCTGGTAGCGCAGCTGAAGCTAAAGAGAACGCAGAGCCGCAAGCCCAGGCCCAAGAAGAAGAATGTCGCCTATTCGCCGAGAATGGAGGAACGATGTGAACAGCCGGCAAGGAGTAGCGTGATAGGCTTTTCTACTTAAGCGTGAGTATGTGCAGGAAGGCTTATGAACATTGTATTGAACCTTTCTAAACTCAATCGAGATTCCTCAGTCGCCAACCCCGTGCTCTGCTTCTTCTTCCCCGAACTCCGATTCCTCTGCTTCCCTTCCTCGCTGCTAACACTCTGCTCCAGCAAAACGCTCGCCGCCTCACGCCTGAGCCTTAACGCCCGACCGACGGGATGCTTCGCAGAAAGCGCCCAAAAATGCGTCTGCCGCCGCCGCAGCTCCGGTCGAAGGCGGCGACCACATAAGCAACCTCCGGACGGGCGTCTTGTTGCAAAGACATACTCTCCTTCCTGCCGGCGTAGGACGTCATGCGGACATGTGTGCTCGCCAAGCACTGGCGCCACATGTGGGAGTCCACCACCGTCCTGCGCTTCGTGTGCGGCCTATTGAAGGAACCACGGTCCATGGAGGAGATTCAGGAGTTCATGAACCATCTGCTGCGCCTACGCATCCGCGGAGGCACGCCGCTAGACACGTGCGAGTTCCGTCTCCTCGGGAATGAGTTCGACATGAGTCGCATCTTGCATTGGATCCGTATAGCTCTCCAGTGCAAAGTCCGGCTGCTCGAGCTCATGTGTTAGGGCATTCCTCCTCTCGATGACCATCCTATCTTCATCTCCCAATACCTGAAGAAGCTACAGCTTGCCGGACTTAGCGAAGACCTGATGCCTAGCAGATTGCTTGATTTCTCCTGCTGCCCCAATTTGGAAGACCTTAAGATTGCCTGACTCGAGCTCATGTGTTCTAGCACTTGCCGATGCTACTTTGGTTGATTCCATTCCCGCTGTTGTTGATCTTGTCCCTACAGGTGTTGATGATCTTTCTGGAGGTCAAGTTGTTTTCCAGAAGCCATCAGACCGCATGAATCACTTGAAGCCACTGCATGTGAATGGCTACATTAATGGCAAACTGATCAACAACATGTTGGTGGATAATGGAGCCATGGTGAATCTAATGCCATATTCACTTTATAAGAAGTTCGACGGATCTGATGAGGAGCTGATTAAGACCAAGAGGACGGTCAAAGGTGTTGGTGAAAATTCTATTTCGGCCAAGGGATTTGCCTTGATGAAGGTTACTATCGGGAGCAAAATGTTGACCACTGTCTTCTTCGTTGCAGAGGTGCAAGGGAGCTACAGTTTGATTCTTGGGAGCGAATGGATTCATGGCAATCGATGTGTGCCGTCTAGCTTGCACCAGTTCCTCTTTTAGTGGGTGAATAATGAAGTTGAGATTGTCTATGCAGACTCATCGGCTTATACCACGACCGATGCCCCTTTGCTTGGGGGGCATGATGATATGATTTGCTTATCAGGGAGGGACCTTGCTGGTTTTGAGTCACTAGAGGAGGCTTTGTTCCCGTTTCTTTAGAGTCGATTAATGATCAAGCTCATCATCATGTTGTGTAAATTCTGTTTGGACAGGGCTTCATGTTGGCCAACCCATGTGGAGATAGTTGAGATTGGGATTGGCACTAGCCCATGGCCAGCGTTTGTAGGTCAAGAATCAGAAGCCGATTATAAAGTTAATCGTGCTTCTCAAGGAGTATCTATCAACACCACCGGTTCTTCATGCATTTAGGAGAGGAGCTCCATTCACATCATATATTATTGCCGAAGAGGATGTATTGGTGTTGTGTTGTCTTGATACTGAGACAAGGTTATGACATCGGTGGGTGGAATTTTCACATAAAAAAGGAGATGATGCATTAGATCGCTGCTCCTGGGTCTGCCAAACCGGCGAGGCCGGTTCTGTTGTGTGCTGTGGCTGATGAACCAGCCAGGCCGGTTCCAGAAACTGGCCAAGCCGGTTTGCGTACAGGATTTTCCTTGAACTGGCTTAAATTGCTCCTTATTGATGCTAAAGCTGATTCAAGTGATTAGAGGGCATCTATAGTTGCATATTTATGTGATCCCAGTGTTAAAGTTCATAAAATGCTCGATGGAGTGCTTTCAAATTTATTTTGCACAATAGTGAATTATATAGAACTGCTGAAGATTAGTTGCTTAAATGCTTGGACGATGATCAGGCTAGAGTGGCATGGGAGAATCCATCAAGGTGTTTGTTGTACACATCAATCAGCTCTGAAGATGAAATGGTGTTCGGAAATTCATACATGCTAGAGACACTGTGAGGTGAACATCTCCCTAGAGCAATTAACGGGAGGTATTTGAAGCAATACTTTCCAAGTGTTTGACAAGAAGCCTAAGAGCTGTCCAAACAATGACTGATACATGTATCGCCCTTAGAATAAATATGGCCGATGTATACATCATTCTTAGTTGCTAGATAACCGATGAGTTGGACATCGTTGCTATTTAGTTTTCGTTATTCTTAGATTCACCTAAAGCTTCACCTAAAAACAGGAGGGCATATGTTGACAATCAAAAGTGACCAAAGAGTATAATAAACTCTGCAATCATGTTTCTATCATCAAGACAATCAGAAAACATATATGGATCATCCCATTTTGAGTCCACATGAAGAAACAGTGTTTCGAGGGTGCTGGCACTGCTGGAACCAGCCAGGTCGGTTTGGGCAAGTTCCTCAAATGTGTGATTAGATTGCACCATTGCATTCCCCACGTCGAGCTGATAGAAAAACATATATGATTTGCCTTGTTTAGAGTCCAGATGAATTAATTATAATTTTTAGAAGATTTTCTACACTGGAATGCAGTAGAATCGGCCTGGACGGCCAGGCTGGTTTGCCTGCAGTTGTGGCTGCCCAGGCAAAACCTCTATTTTGGTCGGGATTTGGACGTATTTTCGTATAGGAAACTTGGAGATCACGATCTGGAGTTGTCTCCTATTGGAATAAGACCACCCACTCTATATATATGAGAGGATCACAGCCGATTGAAGGATCCAACACTCAATCATCAAAAAACACATCTACTACCACTCTCTATCCTCTTTTCCTATTTGCCTCTTCTCCTCGTTCTTCGTCGGTGCTGCATGATTGGAGGATCGACGACGATGACGCTCTAGAGCGGTTACGCCGGCTAGAGCAGCCCATAGCCGCTGCACGCCCCAACGGGGTCCCTCCCAGGCGTGTGATGTTTTGGGTCTCAAGACACCTCGACGGCGTGTCTTGCGTATTGCACTCTCGGCAAGGCTCCTCTGGTGACGTGTCTTGCGTATCGCGCTCATCGCTGGAGGCACAAGGTCCGGGTGCGGACATCCCCTAGGCATTAGCTGACCTAAAAGTCGGCTAAGCCCTACATCGAGTGATCTAGCTCCTTATCGGTGTGCTGACCTAATGAAGCGTCTACAACAACGTTGCTATAAATCGCTGATTTGTAGGGGCGGTTAGCCAGCCGCCCCTACAAATCGGATTGGCCCCAAAAAATAGCAATTTTTTTAATCCGGGATGGCCCCCACCAGTCAGCCACGCGCTCCATCGAAGTCGCAAGTCGTGGCATTTTTTGCGTGAAAATCGCGCGCTTCGCTGCTGCGGTGAGAGAGCAATGGAGATTTTTGCCAAACTTAATCACTTTTAGCACATACTCCACACTCAACAACTTAGAGCAAGGCTAATAACACTAGTAGAGAACAAACTTTCAGTTCTAGGCTTTAGTCCCGGTCATTTTTGGGCCTAGGACTAAAGACAGTATTAGTCCCGGTTGGAGCAACCAACCGGGACTAAAGTCCCCTGCCCAATGGCTAGAGGCGTAGCTTTTGTAGGAGGGGAGCAAGATGGGACCTTTAGTCCTAGTTCATGGTTCAAACCGGGACTAATGGTCACCCTCCAGTCCCGATTGGAGCTACCAGCCGTGACTAAACCTTTAATCCCGGTTTGTGCTTGGTGGCTCCAACCGGGACTAGAACTCTACCTGTAGTCCGGGTTTATACCATAAACCAGGACTACATGTCCTGGGCTATATACTTTCTCCTTCTTACTCCCCCATCCTGAGCCATTTCAAGCTCTCTGCATGCTCTTTGTTCTTGCTCATGGAAGGAGTTCATGCTTGTGAGATTGGTGAAGACTTCATTCCTCCATCCATTCTTTAGTTCTAAAGGTTACAAACTTCATTCTCCCATGTTTCTTCACTAGCATGGCTCATTTCTTGGGTTAGAAATAGAGAAATTTGTGGTTTTTTAGATTGGGAATGATGGTGGATTTTTTTTATTTATATACCATTTGAGCTCGAAATCACTTGATAGTTTGAATATGAAGATGAAGGAAGCTTATCGTAGTTCATCAAAACTAGTATGCACCTTTCATTGCCTTATTTCATGGTCTAGAAATAGAGAAATTTTTTATTTTCTAGATTGGGAATAATTGTGGACATTTTTTATTTATATGCCATTTGAGCTCAAAATCACTTGATAGTTTGCATATGTAGATGAAGGAATCTTATAGTACCTCATCAAAACTAGTATGCACCTTTCATTGCCTCATTTCATGCATGGTTTAGAAATTGAGAAATAAAAGGTTTTTTAGTTTATAGCTCATTTAATTTCATGGTTCACAAAATGAGAAACTTATAGTAGTTGATGAAATTGAGTATAGAGAGTCATAGATGGTCCTCAGCCTCGCATGGGTCCCTAAATGACTGAGGCCAGTCCTCCCTCTCATTGCGTGCGGCAAGTGTGGGCAGAAGATTGTTTGGGAGTATAGGGTGAAGAAGAAGGGTCCCAACCAAGGGCGCATCTTCTACACGTGTCCAGATCGCGAAGTGAGTAATTTTTTGGTCATGTTTTGCTAGGGTTTGTAGCCATTTTTGTGATGATTTTGACTAAAGTTCTTGATTTGTTGTTGTAATTTTAGTGGGATGGCACTAGATCATGTGATGGTTGGTACTAGGAGGAAGAGTATGTTGAGCACGTCCAAAAATCTCTTGCAAAGGAGACTGAGGCGGCTGATGAGAGTGCACCCGTGTATAATGAGGCAGTGAACCAGTAGAAGAATGATCTGTCTGTTTTAGTTAGAATTGGTCGCGAAATCCTTATTCTACTGAAGTGCATTGTAGGTTTAGTTTGTTTAGTGCTATTTGGGATTGTCTACATTGTATCAAGGCTTTAATAAATTAATGTTCGAGAGTACGTGAAACAGCTGTGTGGTATAGGATATTAATTAATCATGTTGATTGATGGATATTTTGGATCTTTTAATTAACTACTAACCATGAATGTTGTATAATATGGGTTATTACAAGTTTTTGATATGGTGTACGTCATGTAATGTAGATGAACCAACAATGGATGTACAACGCTGACCGCCGCTCCCCAGAGTTCATGAGGGGCGTGCATTATTTCTTAAAAGTGGCCAAGGCAAACATGCGGAATGGTTTCATGTGTTGCCCATGTGTTCTATGTAAGAATGAGAAGGATTATTCTTGCTCAAGGAAAATTCACGAACACCTATTTACGTCGGGTTTTATGCCAAACTATATTTGTTGGACTAAGCATAAAGAAAGAGGTGTTATAATGGAAGAAGATGATGAAGAAGAAGGGGATGATGACAACATGATTATTCATGGTTTTGCTGAATAGGTGCCTTTGATGATACTGCAATGGGGCAACCTGAAGAAGAGGTAGCGGCAGAAGATGAGCCCGATGATGATCTTGGTTAGGAC